GTCCCTTCCTCCCTCCCTCTCTTTCTTCCTCCCTCCCCCCTCCCTCCTTCCCTTCCCCTTCCTTTCTTTCTCTGTCTCTCTCTCCCTCTTTCTCTCTCTCCCTTTATCCCTTCTTTCTCTTCTCTCTCTCTCTCTCTCTCTCTCTCTCTCTCTTTCTTTTTTTCTTGTTTTTGCTTACACATTGTCTTGATGTCTCCTGGCTTTGCTCTATTTCAAATCCTGCAGTATTTATTATCTGTAGAACCAATGACTAGACTGTAAGTAGAACCTGTAATTATCAGGAAAGTAAGCCTCAGGGAAATGATCCACTGTTACTTTTAGTCACTAAAAAGTTGTGATATTTTTAAATTTAGAAACTCTTCCTCTTTTACATACAAATTCTTATGAAAAATATCTATTTACTGAAGAACAAATAAAACATAGATGCTGAGTTTTGTTTTTTTTTTAAATATATTTTATTGATTTTTTACAGAGAGGAAGGGCGAGGGATAGAGAGTTAGAAGCATCGGTGAGCGAGAAACATCGATCAGCCGCCTCCTGCACACTCCCCAATGGGGATGTGCACAGCCAAGGTACATGTCCTTGACCGGAATCAAAGCTGGGACCCTCCAGTCCGCAGGCTGACGCTCTATCCACTGAGCAAAAACGGTTAGGGTGATGCTGAGTTTTAAAAAGAATGATAGTGAGCACCTGTATCCTCCTTCCCTGGCTGAAGAAATATACTTTATCAATATTTTGACACAACTGTGTGCTCCTCTTTATTATTTTTTTAATCCTCACCTGAGGATATTTCCATTGATTTTAAGAGAGAGTGGAAGAGAGAGGGAAAGACAGAGAGAAATATCGATGTGAGAGAAACACATGGATTGGTTGCCTCCTGCACGAGCCCTGACCAGGGCCTGGGCCAGGGAGGAGCCTGCAACCCAGGCATGTGCCTTTGACTGGAATCAAACCTGGAACCCTTCAGTCTGCAGGCCAGTGCTCTATCCACTGAGCCAAACCAGCTAGGGTTGACTTTGCTCTCTTGATGGTATATTTTAAGAAACAGAAATTTTATATTTAAAAGTACTCCACTTAATATTTTCCTTTATGGCTTGTACTCTTTATAATTTAACAACTCTTCCCCCTACCTCAACGTTATAAAATATTCTATAATACTTAGTTTTAAAGTTGTATATATCTTTTTTACATTTTTTATTGTGGTAAAGTACACATAACATGACATTTACCGTCTTAACCATTTTTAAGTGTAAAGTTGAGTGATATTAACTACATTCATGTGGTTGTACAGCCAGCTACCAGCATCCATCTCCAGTACTCTTTTCATCTTACAAAATGTCTATGTCGTGGAACACTAAGTCCCCATTCCCTTTTTCTCCCAGACTTTGGCAACCTCCATTGTATTTTCTCTCTCCATGATATTGACTATTCCAAGAATCTCATATAAGTAGAATCATACAGTAGTGTATTTGTCTTTTTATGACTGGGTTAATTCACTTAATGCCCTCAAAGTTCATCCATGTTGTAACATATGTCAGAATTTTCTTCCTTTATAAGGCTGAATAACATTCCATTACACACACACACACACACACACACACGCACACTCACACTCACACCACTTTGCTTATCCATTTATCTGTTGATAAACACTTGGGTTGCTTCCATGTTTTAGCAATTGTGAATGATGCTGTTATAAACATAGGTATACAAATATCTCTTTGAGACCCTGCTTTAAATTCTTTGAGTATATGCCTAGAAGTAGAATTGCTGAATCACATGGTAATTTTATTTTTAATTTTTTTGAGGAACCACCATACTGTTTTCCATTGTGATTGCCCCATTTTCCATTCCCACTAACAGTGAAATTTTTCTAAATTATTGCCAACACATCTTATTTTCTGATTTTATTTTATTTTTATAGTAGCCATCCTAATGGGTGTGAAATGGTATCTTATTGTGGTCTTGATTTGCATTTCATATCCTGATTTCTCTTTTGATCCATTTATTGTTTATGAGTCTATTGCATTATTTCCACACTTTGTGAATTCTCCAGTTTTACTTATATTACTGACTTCTACCTTTATCTCTTTGCAGTTAAAGAAGATATGTTGTATTATATCTATCTTTTAAAAACTTATTGAGACTTAATTTTGAACCTAACATTTTCTATCCTGGAGAATGCTCCATTTGCAATTGAGGAGAATGTGTACTCCATTGTCACCCTGTATATGTCTGTTAGATCTAGTTGATTCTTATGTAGTTGATTCTATTTTCTTGCTTGTTGCCTATCTGGTCCTTCTATCCATTATTGAGCATCAGGTATTGAAGTCTCCAATTTTTGCTTCACATATTTTGATGGCCTGTCTTTGGCCGCATAAATGTTTATAACTGTTATATGTTCTTGCTTTGTTGAAACTTTTAATATTTAATGTTCTTCTTTGTTTTTTGTAACTTTTTTACTTAAAGTCTCTTTTGTCTGATATAAGTATAGCCACTCCTATTTCCTTTTGGTTACCATTTGCATTGAATATATTTTTCCATTCTTTCACTTTCAATCTGTTTGTGTTTTGGATCTAGAGTGAATCTCTTGTAGACAACCTGTAGTTGGATCATGTTGTTGTTGTTTTATCCATTCTGCCATTCTCTGTCTTTTGATTAGAGTTTAATCCATTTACATTTAATGTAATTACTGATAAGGAGGGATTTACTTCTGCCATCTACTGTTTGTTTTCGTTATGTCTTATAGCTATTTTGTGCCTCATTTCTTGCACTACTGTCTTCTTATGTGTTTAGATTTGTGTGTTTTAAACCTGGGATCTAGTCCTAAATTGACAGCTATTAACTGTGTGAACTTGGATATATCATTTGTTAGTGGGTCTGATTTTGGGAAAGTTAATTCTTAATTTTCTCATGTGTCAAAAATACATATAATAAATACCTGATAAATTGTTTAAAGGAATAAACAAATAACACAAGAAGGTATCCATGGTAGATTGCCTGATAAAGAAATTCTATTTCCTTTTCTGGGCAAGGTCAGTTACATCTTTGGCTTTAACTTTCCTAAATCTACAATAATACTAATAGCATTTACTATGTACCAGCCACTGGTCTCAGTGTGTTATATGCATATATTAATTTACAACAACCTTATGAGGTAGACACATAGAGGTTAAACAACTTGCCTATGGTTACTCAGCTAAAAAGTGGGGAGGCCTTGATTTCAATCTCAACAGTCGTTTTTAACCAGACTGTGTTTTTAACCAGAGCCTGTGTTTTTAACCACCACACTGTACTGCCTTTCTAAAGGAAGGAGTTATAGGCTGTATTAGTTGTTTATTGCCTGTTATGCTGCATGATAAACAATCACAAAACCTCAGAGGCATAGAACAGTATTTATTGATCACATGTTGAAATGTGTGTTAGGCAACTCTGTTGATGTTGGCTTGCTACCTCACATCAGTGAGGGTTAGTTTGTTGCAGGGTGTGGCTGGGACTGGACAATTTGCTCCTATTCCAAATGACTCTCATCCTGCAACAATCATATTAGTCTAGGAATATTCTCATGGTGCATGGTAGAGGCATGCCTGCCACAGGAAATCATGTGGCTGACCTGAGTCAAAACAGGAGCACATTATAAAGTCACAAAGGCAGCAGATATAAGAATGTGTCACTTGACACATTCAGGTTGTTTTGTAATTTACCACAAATGCCAAGGCCCAGGGTTCCAAAATTCTTGTATATTAAGGATGAATTCTAAAAGTTAATCTCAAAAATAGCATTTCTGATCATTTAATCGAAAACTCAGAAAACACGAAAGTGCATACAGACATATACACATACACATAAATTTATAGAAAGTATGCAGAACTTCTTGAAGGAATACTTAAATCAGCCCGTAGTCCAAAGGTAGTAGTGGTGGTGATGATGATGATAGCTAATGAGCTATCAGCCTTTAAAGCTTGCTATGTGACAGCACTGTTCTCAGCACTTTACATAGTAACTCCCTCGATCTTTATAACAACCCTATTGAATAGGTACTATGAGTAGTTTCCATTTTACAGATGAAGAAGCTGAGAGATTTAGTAATTTCCTAGGTTCACATCATTTTTTGTAAGATTTCCACATAAAGTAACTTTCAAAAGTTTCTTATTTTTTATCGAATTATTTCCAGACCTCTTTGCCATGGAAGATCTTCTGTAATCTGGCCCTACCCAATTCAATTCTCTGCCATTGCCATTACTATGAGGTATAACTTTAGACCAGTGGTTCTCAACCTGTGGATCGCGACCCCTTTGGTGGTTGAATGACCCTTTCATAGGGGTCGCCTAAGACCATCCTGCATATCAGATATTTACATTACGATTCATAACAGTAGCAACATTACAGTTATGAAGTAGCAACGAAAATAGTTTCATGGTTGGGTCACAACATGAGGAACTGTATTTAAAGGGCCAGAAGGTTGAGAACCACTGCGTTAGACAATTAGGAGTCTGGGATTTTGTAGATGGGATGCATACATTGGAGGGAGCTGAACTAGTTGCATTAGAGATTTATTCCAGTTTCAAGAATATGTGATTCTGAGTCCTTTTATGTATTTCCTCCTATGTATGTGCAGCTCTAAAAAATTTTACAAGGCTCTTTCATCTGAATAACTAAACTTATTCCTAGGAGATGAAGAAAGTATCTACTAAAGCCATTTTATTCCTCTTTCTTAAAATTAGACTCCTTTGTTTTGATTTTCTCACTCTGCAAACAGAAATCTCTGCACTGATGTAGAACTGTTTTGAAACTAAAATTGTTTTATTTGGTCACATAATCAGAAAGACCAGATGTAAGTGTTTCTGAGATATGATGTGAATGACATTAACATGTCATTTAAAAGGAGTATTTCTAATTCAACTGTGTTCTTATTTCAGATGTTTGAGAGTTGAGAGGTACATATACTCTCTTGGTATTTTGAGATGATTACCTGACACAATTGCTATTATATTCAACAGGTGGGTTTTCAGAAAAGGCAAATGAATGGAGCTCAGAAGAGGAGGAACCAGTGAAAAAGGCAGGACCAGTCCAAGTCCTTGTTGTCAAAGACCACCATTCTTTTGAGTTAGATGAAACTGCACTAAATCGAATCCTTCTCTCAGAGGCTGTGAGAGACAAGGAGGTTGTTGCTGTATCTGTGGCTGGAGCATTTAGAAAAGGAAAATCATTCCTAATGGACTTCATGTTGAGATACATGTACAGCCAGGTATGTAAGAGTTTTTTTTTTAAATTTTCTGTCTCTGTGCTGTCACTTTGTGCTTTTATTTAGTAGTGTCCATTATTTCTATTATTATGTATCCTAAATATGCACTAGTTTAAAAATGCTATACTGTAATCATTCCAACTTTGGTGCTTTGTGCACCAAACTACACAGGCCACTTTTGCCTGAAGCCACTTAGCTACATTACCCTTAGAACATACCTTATTTTTTATGCCTAAAAATAGATACCACATAGTAATATGATTATAAACTTTACATGTTATAGGGTTTAAAATGTCAAATAACTTTTGTCATAACTATTTTATTGTAATCATTTTCCCCAACATTTATTATGACAATTTTCAAGCATGCAACAAAGTTAAGAGAATTTTGCAGTGAATACCCGGGTATCCACTAATGAGATTCTACCATTAACATTAATATTCTTGCATTATCCCCTGTGTCTCTAACTCTTCTTTCCACCCATCACTTCATCTTATTTTACTGATTCATGTCAAAGTAAATTGCTGATGTCAGTATACTTCCCCCCAAATTTTCTCAATATACATCATTATTATATATTTTAGTATTTATTTTTTCTCTTGTTATAAAATTTACATAGTTACATGCACAAATCTTGAGTACCTTTGCTTATTTTTTTGAAAATGCATATACTTCTATATCCCCAAATTCTATCAAGTATATCTCACCTTTACCCCAGAAAGTTCTCTCTGATCTTTTCCAACTCATTTCTTCCCCCACCCCCAGAGGCAACAGTATCTTAACATTTGCTTCAGCAGCATGTCACAGAAATGAGACTTTAAGGGACCTAGGATAAACCAAAAGCAGAGGGAGAAATAGGAGATTGGAGCTAGGGAACAGAGGGTTGGTAGTGGAGAGCATATCAGTATTTTTTCTACCTTTTATCCATAGCAATTCTGATGCAAATATGGATTTTGAGGGAAGAATAGGCACACTACCCAAGAAACTTGATTCTATATATTTATACCATAATTATCCATTTTGGATTGATCTTTTCTAGTTGGGTTATTTGTGAACAATTTTGTAACGTTAATATCTTATGTCTAGTGTCAGTTCAAACAAATCAGGAACGAAACTGCTAAAATCTCAGGCTTTGAAAGCAAGAAAAACTTACCATTCTCTATTTCTAGCATACCAACATTAGTGTGCTGTAACACAGGTGGGAAAATTGAATGAACAAAATTAGTATACCTTACATTATTTGGGATTATACAGTTTTATACATATTCATAGTTTTAACTGTTAAACATTTGAATGAAATGCTCAGTAACACTTGTTGCTTGTGTTAAATAGCATTTTCTCAGATTAAAGCTCAGATTTGTTTTGTTTTTGTCTTTCTGCACCTACTGCTAGATACCTTTCCTCCTGCTATTATTGACTTCCTCCTCCCCCAATACCAAAGCATTGTGTATGTTACTGTTTATATCCTGATATACTATATTCTCTCATATCTTTATTTCTTTGTTTCTGGAATACCCTCCGCAAGTTTGCTTCCTGGAAAATTCCTAAACATCCTTCAATGTTTAGCCCAAATATCACCTCTCCTTTAAAGTATTACATAACTAAGAGTTACATAATAACTCTTTAGTTATTTCTTATCTTATGTTTCCATTTATGCCTAATATACACTCCCATTTTAATAGGCATATATTATATTATATTAGTTAGTTAGCATGTCTATCCCCTGTTAAGTTATGAGCTTCCATTGGTCTGGAATATCTTTGTCTCCCCAGGACCTAGCATAACATGTGGCAAATGATTGCTTCCTCTGTAATTTCTTTTTGGATTAATTAGTAAAGAAATTGCGTCAGTACAGTAAATGTGCATATGTTGTTTCCTTTAGGCTAGAGTGAGAAAGAGAATACAAATCTTAATGGATGAGTAGAAAATACTATACTACATATCTAGTTCTGTATCAGACTTTCTTAATTTTATAGGAATCAGTTGATTGGGTTGGAGATTACAATGAACCATTGACTGGATTTTCATGGAGAGGTGGATCTGAACGAGAGACTACAGGAATCCAGATATGGAGTGAAGTCTTCCTTATCAATAAACCTGATGGTAAAAAGGTATGATGTGAACTTCTTAAAGGAAATAGATTTTTCACTTGCAACAGTTATCACTTTTCAGGATCCTCAAAAACACTCTTTTGAAAACTAATTTTTGGCCATTTGACATGATATTTAAAAGGGAAGTGGGTAGCATTCTATTGCATGTTTCCTATTTTCCTTTCTAGGTGTCAGGGTAAGCAAAATTGTGGAAACAATGGGCCAGCAGCTCAGCTAACATCTAAACTTTGTTTCAGTGCTGTTTCTGTTATGGTGGATTACCAGTGAAAGTTAATCATTACAGTATTCAGCAACTAATTGCATTTTTATTTTCTGTGGCCTTAATGGCACATGTAAAAAATATTCATTATTAATGATTTATTTTAGTTCTTATCATGTTAACTTTGTATTAACCCGAAAACTCTACATGTTCTATAAAATATAAGTAATGTTCTCTACTTGCCTATAGGTTGCAGTGCTATTGATGGATACTCAGGGAACCTTTGATAGTCAGTCAACTTTGAGAGATTCTGCCACAGTATTTGCCCTTAGCACAATGATCAGCTCTATACAGGTATGGAATAAAATAAATCCATATTTATGGATGTTTCTTTCACTAAAAATTATGAATATATGTATTTCTGTGTGCTAGTGAGACAAGCAACAGAAATGGTAAATCATGTATATTATTTGGCTTAATTAGCATACCAGTTCTAATGATTTCTGTAACAGTAGAATTGTTTTTATTATTGTCACCTAATTTCTGATAAGTTTTCAAATTGCTTACTTTAGTCAGAAAAGATATTATCTTATTGATAATTTTTCCTGTTTAAAGCATGTAATAAACTCAATAATATTAAATCTTATAATGTATGCAGTTACATTGGGACCACCTAGTTAAGTTATATTAATTGAAACAAGATTTATAAATGCAAAATTTTATTTTACATAGCTAGTAGAAACATTTCTAAATGTAAAAAACATGTATATGTGTTCATAGCTTTTAAAAACATATTACTATACATTTAGGAAAGTAACTGTCTTGTAAAAAAAATCTATCTTTTTTCTTTCTCTGCCTTTTTTAAAAGTATTTTCTGTGAGGTATAGTATAGGCTTTATAAGTTGTCCTAAAGTACTTGGAGAATTTTACTATAGTAATAGAACACATAGCATAAAAAATTTTAAACCAAATTAAAATTATTTTCTATTTACTGTAAAGAGCAAGAAGAGATAATAGACAAGAAACAGTTAAAAAAAAAAGGTAAGATAGTTTTAAAAGTTAGGGAAGACAAAGTGGTTAGGATGAGTAAGTGAAGGCTAAAATTATAAGCAAGTAGAGAAAATGGAGCTAGTGAACTGGCAATAAAGGCATGCTGTCAGGGTAGGACAACCGTGAGAAGGTTGATAGAAGGAAGACTGAAATTTTTTTTAATAAAGGACTTTAAGATAAAAAGCCATGATTGTAACTTATAGTTGACTAGCTTTTAAAATTATACTTCTTAAATGAGTAACCCTTTAAAATACCGACTTACCTAATTTCTTCATAATTGACAATATAACCCATTTACACAAGCCAATTAAAACCAGATTAACTTTGCCTTTGTAATATTTATTATTTACTATGTATATTTTACCTGAAGACATTCAATATTTTCACTGAAAATGTAAGTCTTTTTAGTAATGACTATTTTTTACTATCTGAGAAATGATCTATTTAAAAATATATTATCTGTAATAATACATAAAGATACACATATCCTTAAGTTTTCTTACATTACTGATATTTATTCCCCTCAAAAAATGTTACTTTGATACAGTGATCTGTTCATGAAGTAATAATGCATATGTTTATGGGTGTGGACATAATATTCAGAACCTAACTTCCATGTGATGAAACTTTCTGTAGACATAACTCAGATAACCAGTTGTGAAGAAGCCAACATAAAATTTTAAGAAAACTTTATGGGTTATTCAGATTTAGATTGCCATTATTTATATGAAGGAGTGTTTTATTGACTAGCTGTTGAGTTCATAAAGTATTTTTAGTATTCTGCCTCCAGACAGATGGCTATTGCATTTCTAGAACAATTTTATGATCATTGTACATTGTTTATTGTCTCTCAAGTTTTTTATACTCCTCAATTATGGTCTTATAAATATCATTATGTAAGAATGTATGTTAGAGAGTTCACATTTGTGACAACTGATATTTAGAAAAAATAGAGAAGGACAAAGTAGTACTGAGGATGATGCTAATTATTTCCTCGTTTTAACTTTATTTCTTAATCAAGGTATATAACTTATCCCAAAATGTCCAGGAGGATGATCTTCAGCACCTCCAGGTAACAATATTTATAATATTTTTTAATATCTGGTAATCTTTTAAGCATGCATAGTGGAACTTCAGGAGGATTTAAAAACATAACCAAATGGAGGTTGTCCTAGTTCCAGGTTTCTTGTTCCAGCCTTGTATGGTTATGTTCTGTCTAACTCAGTTTCCAAACTCCTTTGTTTCTGTAAAATTACTTGCTATTGACCTGCATATGAAACTACGTGGCAAGTTAGAATAGAAAAATGATCTTTGGTTTAAAAATGACCCAAAATATGAAGTAGAAGTCGTAAGATCAAGGATTTAACAATTGCTAGTGTGATATCAGTTGTATGCCAGTTTTCCCCCTGTGGACCATTTTATACCTAAGAACTGTGAGGGGTTTACCTGATGATAACTCATAGAATTCTATTTTAGATCTGAAAGAGACCTCAGTGACACCTAATTTATACTTCCTATTTTATACATGAGGAAATTTTGGCTGAAAGAAATAAATGACTTGCCTAAATTCATGTGGCTAATTAGTGGTAGAGTAGGAGTAAAAATATGGTTATCTGACTGGGCTTAATGTTTCTTCTATTCTCCAAGCATCATTTAAATCTCAAGTAAAAGATTAGCTATTCCTAAAGATACTTCAGATCTCTGTAACACTCTGCTCCCTTTCAAATCATGTTATATTGGTTACATAGGAAAGCCTATTGTTTCTCTGATAGTTGCCCTCTGTATATTTTGTAGAAAATTTTGCTTTCAGTATATTATTTAATTTTTTCAATAAGAGCCATGTACAAATTTAACAGATAACAAGATGATAAAACAGGGTAATCTCTAATGCCAGAAAAATCATTTGAGTTTACAACCAGTATTACTCCCAAATATATTTATTTTCTTCTTTTTAAATCAGTTTTTTATTATTTATTATTTTATTTTTTTATTGATCTTAGAGAGAGGAAGGGAATAAGAGAAACATCGATCTATTGCCTCCCATGCATGGAAACCTGGGTCATGTGCCCTGACCAGGGAATCATCCTGCCACCATTTTGTGTAGGTGACAACATTCCAACCAACTGAGTCACACCAGCCAGGGTTAAAATATATTTCTTGTACATCTCACTGACCATTTATGACAAATAGGCGATATGCTGAGTAAGTGTTAAATTTTTGTTGTTGTTGCTCTCTTATTTTAATTTGTGTTTTTATTTGATTTGATTTGTGTTATATATTTCTTATGCAGTAATAAATACAATGACTTCTTCAAACATGTACTGTTCAATACCAGTTTTAGGGATTTCTTGAAGAGGGACTGATTTTGGATTTTTATATTGAGTAAATTATCTTTTTTGAGATCACTTAAAAAATTTCCTGTAAATGACAATATCTCAGTCTTCCTCAAAAAAGATTGTGAATTCAATTTATGTTAGTAGATAATTCTAATGAGAGTGTTTAATCCCTGACCAGCTGCCTTTGTTTATTTTTTAAATATATTTTTATTGATCTCAAAGAGGAAGGGAGAAGGAGAGAGAGATAGAAACATCAATGATGAGAGAGAATCATTGATTGGATGCCTCCTTCATGCCCCCTACTGGGGATCGAGCCTGTAACCCAGGCATGTGCTTTTAACTGGAATCGAACCTGGGACTCTTCAGTCCACAGACCAACGCTCTATCCACTGAGCAAAACCAGCTAGGGCCAGATGCCTTTTAAATATGATATTCCAGACTTTCATTTAATCACTCTAATCAAATAACTAGTAATTACCCTTTGCTTTCTATATTCCTATAGCCCGCACGAAGCTGGGGAAAGGATGGTAATCCTGTGTCAGCTTTCTTCCCCAACTCTGAAAAGTCACTGTATATTTAGTGGCATTTCCTGTGCACACAATATAGTTAAAACTATATTGAAAGTTTTCTTAGCCACTCTGGATGAAACTCTCATCAGAGGCCCAATCATAGTCACCCTTAAGGTTGTGTTCTCCAAAACCTTCCATTTCTAGCAACATAAAAACGGCTATGGTGCCTCTCAATTGGGCACATAAAAAATATTAGACAGCAGTGTATTTGATGTTTTGATTTTTAAGCCAAATACCTATAAGACATTGTAATAATCCAGGCCATTGTGTGTCCTCAGGCAACAACACATGTATATCCTACATAACTTATTGCCTTCTGGTCTAATTATGCAAGTTCTATTTTGAAAGGTCATTTAACATGTTTCTCCCCATTGTCCCTACAAAAAACTGTCCTATATTCTAGATATAAAAGATGTTAGCTTTAAAATGGAAACTTTATTTTTAAAATATCTAATTATTGTACTGTTTTATCTAATACTTAGTTCCTTAAAATGATTATTGTAATCTTAAGAATATAGTATTATCTTATAGCTTGGGGAACAATATGAATGGAAGAAAGCCAAAAAGTAAAACTTTGCAGATACTGAAGTTTTCTTTGTGCATGTGTGTTTGTATGTGTATGTTTGTATGTGTGTTTGATTTTCCTTCTAGCTTTTCACTGAGTATGGCAGACTGGCAATGGAAGAAACATTCCTGAAGCCATTTCAGGTAAGTTGGGGTTAACCGATGATAAATTCCTATCAAAATTTCCTGAAGACCATAGCAGGTATTTTAATTAATTGTGAGGGTCTGTTTCTCTGTTTTAAAATTTCACTTCAGAAGCACTTTTGGATACTCATTTAATGCTATTCAATGCAAGGAGAAGATAGAAATGTGTTTTTTAAAAAGGGGGAAGGAAAAATAAAAGAATGAATAAGTTATTTTGGTTCCTGCAAAAATATCAGGTTTTCTCCCCTGAACCAACCCTAGAGATGTCATAAAAAAATAAACATACTACGGAGTGAAAAAGTTGTCTCTTAAAGACTATCTACAGTATGATGGCATTTTTAGCTCAAAAATGAGCATAACTAAATTAATAGCATATTGTTTAAGAATACATATACATATGTGTTAAAACTATATTGAAAGCAAAATTTAAGGTAGTGATTACCACTAGAGAGGAGAAATAGGGACATACCAGGGAGGGATACACAGGAAGCTTCACTGTTTTGGTATGTTCAATTACTTAAGTGGGTTTGTGGATTCACAGGTTTATTTTACTAATGTGCATAATAATATGCATATAAGTTATTTTATAGGTGTCATATCATAAAAATCTTAAATCTTAAAAAGTCAATAATGTCTCAAAACAGCAATTACCAACTAACAAATGTAAGTTATTTTGTGTTTACGCAGTTTTTTTTAAGTATACAATTCACAATAGCAAAAAACACACACAAAAAGTTTGATAAGTAACTCCCATAATATACAGACTTTTATGGAGGAAAATGCAAAGATTTGTTAAATATCATAAAGGGAAATTTATATAAAACAGATATATTTCAGATAGGGTGATTTAATGTTGTAGAGAATTTAATTCTCCCCAAATTAATCAATAAACTCAGTGCAATTTTAATTAAAATTACCACCGAATTTCTAAAGAAACTCAACACATTGTGCTATAACTTCTATGGAAGAATTAAGTTCTGTTTTTATTTAAATCAGTTTTTAAAAAGAAAATCAAAATTGGAAGATTGAATACACAATAAGAAACCATACAAAATGAAAATGGTGTGGTCCTGCACAGATACAAGAAAAAAGCCCAATGGAACTAAACAGACACGAAATATATCCCTATCTATAATAATAAAAGTGTAATATGCTAATTAGACCAGACGTCTTTCCGGATGACCTTCTGGACGAAGCCGGGGCTGCGAGGGAAGCCTGGGTCCCCGGTGCCAGAGGGAAGTTGGTACCAGCAGTGGGGGGAAGGAAGGTCTACTCTTGCATGAATTTTGTGCATCAGGCCTCTAGTATATATATAAACCTGGTATTCAACAGAGGTGGTGTTATAAACCAGTAGCAAATGGATGGATTAATAGCTGAGATTTGGAAAAACTAATTCACTATTTGAAGAAAAAGTTGAATTTCTGTTAAACACCATATAGATTAGTAAGCTCCAATTGGATTAAAGAAATAAATATGAAAGTTAAAATTATACTAATAGAATAAAATACTGGAAAATATCCTTCTGAACTGGGGTGAAGAAACATTTATATACTAGGATTCTCACAAAATAAACCATGTAGTGAAAAATTGATGGTATTATTACATTAAAATAGAGTATTTCTATTTATCAGAGGATTCTATAAGAAGCAAAGTGAACAGATTGGTAGAAGATATTGACAATGTCCAAGTCAACAAGGACTTAATATGTAGAATACACAAGGCAGTTTTACAATTAAGTAAGGACATTTTGCCAATTAAAAATAAGCAAAGGAACCATGACACATCTATTAGAATGGCCAAATTTCAGAGCATCAACACCAAATGCTCCACAAAAGAGGATGTGGAGCAACAGGTTCTCCCATGCATTTCTGGTGGGAATTTAAATGGTACAGTCACTTTGGAAGATAGTTTGGTGGTTTCTTACAAAATTAAACATTCTCTTATATGAACCAGTGATTGCACTCTTTGGTATTTACTTAAAGAAGTTGAAAACTTACGTCCACACAAAAACTGGCACACAGATGTTTCTAGCAGCTTTATTTATAACTTCCAAAAACTTGGAAGCAGCCAAAATGTCCTTTAACAGATAAACTGCATATATCCAGACAATGAAATATTCAGCATAAAAAAGGAAATGAGTTACCAGTCTATGAAAGAGACATGGAGAAACATTAAATGCACATTACTAAGTGAAATAAGCCAATTTAAAAAAGGCTACATATTGTATGATTCCAACTATATGATATTCTGGCAGAGGCAAAACAATGGACCCAAAGATCAGAAGATGGTGGGGGAAGCGAGGAGTGGAGAAATGAATAGGCAGAGCACAGAGGATTTTTAAGGCCATGAAAATACTCTATATGATATTGTAACGATGGGTGTATGTCATTATACCTTTGGCCCATATCATATACAACACTAAGAATGAATCCTATGGATTTTGAGTAATTATGATGTGACAATGTAGGTCCATTGTTGATGAAAAACAAGAATGCACCATTCTGGTGGGTGATATTAATAAATGAGGCTGTGCATGTGTGGGGACAGGTGATACTTGCCAGTACTCTGCACTTTCCTCTCATTTTTCTTGTAAACCTAAAGCTGCTCTAAAAATAATCTTATAAAACATTTAAAATGATAAACTGTACTTAATTTTTAAAAAACAGGCAAAAGATATGCAGACAATTCACAGAATGAAAACCTGATTGGTTAACACATTTTTGAAGGATGTCAGGTCTCATTGATAATCAGATAAAAATTAAAATAATGAGATACCACTTTATACTCTTTAAGTAGGCAAAAAGTGGAACATGGGGTTAATACCATATTATAACTACAATTTGGATAAATGGGAAAGCCAGGACCTGTTGGTGAAAGTGCAGATTGGAGCAGCCATTCTGGGAGCTGGGGAAATGTGTAAGGATATTGACTGGAGCATTGATAGAGTAGTGGTAGTGGGAAGTGGAGGCAATTTAGGTGTCCATCACTAGAAGAATGGATACGTAAGAGCATACTCTGGAATATTTTGCAACATCCAAAGGCAGTGAACCAGAAGTATATGGAGTAGCATGAATAATAGAGTGTTAAATTGATACTGAAATAAGCAGAAAAAATTTGAGATCTATAACATACTATTTATGATTATTTAAAACACTCTAGATCAGTGGTTCTCAATCTTGGCTGCACATTAGAATCACCTGGGAATCTTTTTGAAATCCTGATTTCTGGGCCTCATCCTCCAGAAATTCTGTTTTTTTGTTATGGGGCGAGGCCACAACATTAGTAACAAAGAAACAGAATTTCCGGAGGATGAGGCCCAGAAATCAGGATTTTAAAAAGATTCCCAGGTGATTCTAATGTGCAGCCAAGGTTGAGAACCACTGCTCTAGATAAACAAAATGTATGTATTAGAGTTGAGAACAGAAAATTGAGAGATGGGAATGGGGGTCTGGGAAAAATATGATGAAGAAAAAGGGGCCTTCACATGGAGAGATAATGGTATGCTGTGAGTGAGAGTATGAATCTCTCCCCCATGGCCTGGGGAAGCAGGTGGGGTCAGGTAGAATAAAACCAGTTCTTGCTTACAATCTTCTGTATGGTTTACAATACCTAGTAGATTCTGTTGTCTTTTTAAAAAGTATTTGTCAGGCTGATAGTTGAAGTGTTGTATGGTAATTAGGCTATTGGTTTTGACTTTTGTCTTCTCTGAACCTGTTACTCTCAGGACCCATTGGCATAGACTGGGGAACTGCATTGTAAATTCTGGAAAGGAATGTTAAGTCTTATCAGCAGGCATCACTGTTTCTTACACTTTGCCAGATATACTAAAGTCAGAGAGACCAACCAATGCTTAGAAGGTGAGAGAGAGAGAGAGAGAGAGAGAGAGAGAGAGAGTCATAGAGTTACTGCTTGTTGGTAAACTGTTGGCTTATGAAATGTCAATGAAAAAATTATGACTAAATGAGTCAACTAACTCCTAAACATGTTTGGATGTGTAAATCTAAGTATCTGAAATTGAATACTTCAGTAGCAAACATGGCTTCCAACACTATTTAATAATATTTAAGATTAAAACAACCAAATTCAAACCAAAAAATACTATACAACATGAAATTAAAGATAAAATACAAATATATTAAAATCTCAGAACATGTAAGATAGCAGCAAAATAATTCACAGGAAAAAATCTAAAATAAAGTAATTTTGAAATAAAAGTTGTTAATTCAGCAAGCTTTCTTAGCAGTTCACTTCTGTCCTCTTCCTCACTCCAGAAAATTCACTGTTTTTTTCTATTGTGAACCAGTGTCACCTCTATAACCCACTTAAAACATGTATTGATATATCCTACATGTTTGTAATATTAATTGCTATGTAATGTATTTTCATATTAATATGCCATAATTTGTAAAGTAATGTCCCAATTGTTGAGCATTTGGGGTTTATTTCACTGTTACTCATAGTAGTGCTAGAACACTGATTTTTTAAATAATTTCCTAAAGGATTAGTCTCCAAAGGGAAATTAACAAAGGTTATATTTTTCATGTTTTAAAAAATATATATGGTCATTTATAGGATATACACAGCATCCTTTGCCCCAGTTGCCTTCCTGAATTTAATTCATTCAAAAAACAGTATTTATGACTTCAAATGTTTTTATCTGAGAAAATCAAGGTAATTTATAGTCTTGATTTTTATCTCTACCTACATATATATATGAACAAATCAAGATTCATTAATGTTGAAAACTGATGGCTTTTGAAATAAGGACCTAGATTCATAGAATTCCGTACATGATAAATGTAAAGCATACAAATTGTCCAGGGAGAGGGTGGGGCCAATGGGTGTGCTTTTATTAGCTGGCTCATACCAGTTCACAAGAGCTAACTAGTAAACATTCAGGAATTATGTAAGCCAATTATTAAACAGTTAGTAGCTTGAAATCAGCAATAGTGTGCATACAGAAATTGTCGAATGCTACAAGTCAAGGTGTTATGTTGTTGTTGGAGAGGTCGTTTACTAGCACATCATTGGATGGGAACGATAGGCATGGAAATAGGGAATTTGACACTGTAGATAGATAAATAGAATATAAATTTTTGATTTGACAAAATAAGACCATATTTGATCATATTCTACACATGGTCCTCATTATGTTGACTTGGGAAGGTGTCCAGTGAAAAAGACCAAGAAATGAAACTAAAATCTCCCAAGAAAAATGCAAAATATAGCCAAATCCACATATTTGGTTTCATTTATCCTAGTTCATGAACTTCTATTTTGTAAAAGTTGCTTCATAGCTAACCTCTATTTTCAAAATACATGTTTTAGGTGTAATTGTTCTGAATACAAGTTGTTATATTTTATTTTGACAAAAATTTTGACAGAAATTGGCATATAATTAAAGATAGTGGATATAGGTACTTTTAAATTCTCCTCTCCATAAGAATATCTTCTTTCCCCACAAGAATCCACAAAACAAAACAAGAAGAGAGGCTCTACCTTAGTGAAACAAGAAATATCCATAAGGCAAACTAAGAAGCATTCATTTTTAAGGAAAGATGTGAGCCAAAAATTTTATATCCAGCAAAATTGACTTTCAAGTATAAATGGCACAAACTGTTATCAACATGTAAGAATGCAAAAAATAGTGTTCCCATGAGCCCTTAATGAGAATTCTACCAAAGAATGCACCTCAGATAAGCAAAGATGACATAACTTCGATCAAATCAGAGATAATCATATACTACGTGCCTCCTGATAAAAGGACACTCTGCTTCCCATGGTCTTGCCAAAGAAAACCTGTGTCAGACCAAGCTTCTGTCTCTAGCTGCCAATTTGCAGGAAGCCCAGAGGACAAAAGAGCATGTTGAACTGCTTCGTAAATGTGCAGCCAGCAAGGTCCCAGTTACGGGAAGCTCTACAGGTCAGATTCCTAAGTTCCTCAACAGATGAACGGTAAAGGGGAGAAGGGCTGGAAGAGGAACCGGTAACTTAAATGAGAATTAAAAGACATAATTTTTAATGGGCGAGTCTGAAAGATTCAGTTAGAAACTCAGAAAATATAAACTTTAAAACATTGATTTTAGAGAGAGGAAGGGAGAAAGAGAAACATCGATGCGAGGGAGAACATTGATTTGGTTACCTTCCATATGCTGGGTGTGCCCTGACTGGGAATTGAACTGGCCACCACTTAGTACAAGACAATGCTCTAACCAATGGACCACACTGGCCAGTGCAGAAAATGTAAACTTTTAGAAGGATCATTTAAAGATAGCTAATTTTATAAAATATGATTTTTTCTTTATTACCTAAATTTTTTTTCAGAAACAAATTTAAATGTCTCTTACTCTAATTTACAAAAAGCATATTTTAATCAGCCCTTAGATCGTAAATTACATATTTTATACTTAACTTTGAGGAGCAGTACAGGAGGGATTTTGAAGTAAGACCCAAGTTTGCTACTAATTCTTTCATCTCTGGCTGTGTGAGTTTGAGCAAGTTACTTAATGTCAGATGAGGGTGGAGGTGATTTTTATATATCTCTTTTGAAAGGAATAATAAAGTATAACCGATCTCTTAGGGCTGCTATAGAAATATATGAAATATCATGTGTACACTTCCTGGTATTGAAGCTGGCATATTATAGGCACTCAATAAATGAAAGCTAATACTACATTGGTTTCAATAGGTCTGGGGTGGAGCCCAAGAATTCTGTACTTTTAAAAAAGCTTCCCAAATGATTTTAATGATTGTTCTAATTTGGGAAACACAGTCACTGATAAAATCCTTCTGGATATGAACAAATATTTAACTTGAAGGATGATTATCTATGATTTTCTTAGAATAGTGGAAAAACTGGAAAATATTTATGAGAAGGGCAGAATAAATTATGGTCTATCCATGTGCTAAAATACCATGTTGCCATTAAAATAAAAATCAAATAGCTAACAGAGCACTAACTAGATATCAGGCACTATTCTAAATGCCTATATATTATCTCATTAATCAGTCCCGTGAGGTGGGTCTATTATTATCTCTAATTGACAAATGAGGAGACTAAAAATTTACGTAACATTACAAATAAAAATTGTGAAGCTGAAACATTTCTAAACTATCAATAATAAAAAATGTTTTATAATAAGAAATTGGCTTCATTAGAAGAAAGACTGAGTTAGCTTTCTAACAAAAAATATTTCAAAATCATCATATGAAGAAGTGATAAAATCATTTGCAGCCAAAAACTGTAGAGGGCAAAATATATTATAAAGGTGTGTTAGTTATTTTGCTGGTGTGTGTGTGTGTGTGTGTGTGTGTGTGTGTGTGTGTGTGTAAGAGACAGACTTGTCAGCTTTTTGAATTAGTAATTTATTTTTCTCATTCTAAATAAATAATTCACTTTTAAGCCCAATTTTGTATACTTTTTCTTATTGAGCCTTCCCCCTACAGATTGTGTAAGATTCAGGCCCCACAAAACCCAGATTACCACCCCTTTCTATACCAGTTATGCATAATGAGAACTCCTATAGAAAAGAGTGGGACACATGTAATGGAGGAAAAATATCTAGAGAGTAATAGAGGAAACTTTCCTCAAATAAAACTTGAATCTTCATAAAAAGCTGTTTGAAAACCACCAAGCTGAATGCATCCCACCAAGAAATGAGACAGAGTTGCCCTCAAATTGGCTCTCAAATTGGCACTATGTAACTATGACCAGTTTTGGGGCAGCTTTTGGTTTACACTTAGTGGAAATAGGTTGGATGCTCTAATAGAGGAAAGACTACTCAGAAACTGTCAAAGATTTTATGTTTGCTTTAATTCCACAACGTGGTAAAGAATATTTGAATAGTATTCTTTAATTGGTTTCAATTAAAAAGCAGTGGGAGGCAACTTATAATCTCCTTATCAATTCTTTCTTTGAATTATTTCGTAGAGTCTGATATTTCTTGTTCGAGACTGGAGTTTCCCATACGAATTTTCATATGGATCTGATGGTGGCTCCAAATTTTTGGAAAAACGCCTCAAGGTTTGTTAAATATTTAGGTGCATGGAATTTCACCATTAGTAATCTAGAATTATTTTTGTTGAATGATTTGCTGAATGCTTAGTAGCCAAATTCTCATTTGACCCTCATAGTATCTCTATGAATAAACTAAGACAGATACTTAATAAAATACTTTCAGAATTACAGTTTTCAAATATTTTCAATAATTATGATACAGATAAAGAGTTCTTTTGTAGGTTTCTATAAAACAATGATTTATTCGAAAAAACAAAGCTTTTAATTTGAAAAATTAAGTTAGTTCAAGACCACAGTTTAAATATCTGGATTCATGTTTTAGCAGAGGTTTAAAAGTCAATTTAACAAAAATATCTAATTTTGAAATCCCCAATCTTACAACATTTTGCTAGTAGTACACAGAAAGTAAAATTAGAAGACTTTCCATTTTTAATGTCATGATAGTTTAATATTGACTGATTTACATTGAATAGATATCACACAAAAATACCTACTGAGAAGTCCAAAAGAAAAAAAAGATAAATTCCTTTATAATCGTAATTTTTGAGCTTAACTTTTTAGGTTTATACTTACTTTTAGGGTAATTCGTACTATTAACTGTCAAATAACATGTAAAAAAAAGTGCAACTTAGCTTATAAACACCTATCTATTCAGATGCTTTCCTAGAATTTGAATGTATACCTACCAGGTGACAAGAAGCTGTTTTGAGTATCTCCTGAAAAGGGAGGAATATTTTATGATCTATTTATGTCTCCTGTGAGTACTTTGAATTAAAAAAGGAATTTGTAGGAATTAGCTAGAGTAAAACCCCACTAATATGTACTAAAAAAAGGGGGGGGGGAAGGCCCATCTGAGTTGGCATAAGAATAGACATTTGTTAACTGTAATAATGCCATATTTATGCTATACAGTTACTTAGGTATGGCAGTGTGGCAGGTTCACCCAAGATCTTATTCTTTCTTTAATATCAGCCCTGACAGGTCATTTTTATAATTGTGGGCCAAGACAGAAAATATAAGATGACACAGACTTCTTTGAAGTTCAGTTTATATTGAAAGTCACTTAAACTTCCGGATGATTTACTACTGCAGGTCTCAGGGAACCAGCATGAAGAACTACAGAATGTTCGAAAACATATCCATTCCTGTTTCACCAAAATTTCCTGTTTTCTGCTACCTCATCCTGGCTTAAAAGTAGCTACCAATCCAAACTTTGATGGAAAACTGAAAGGTTTGTCTGTCTTTTAATGAATATGTTTATATCACTTAGTCTGATCTAAAAATATCATTTATCCGCTGGGCTTATGACTGCTTGTTCATTCACTGACGGGAGGCTGATGATGAGAAATCGTCAGAATTGTGATTCCTGGGCTGGTGCTAGAGCGCCTCCTTGGTGAACTGTGGGAATCTGTGGCTGCTGAATATGTACATTGAGAAAAGAGGCTAACCCTGAGTTCACTTGGGAGGCAGTAGCCCTCACCTTTTTGCAGAGGTTCCTGCTCACCTTTGTGCATTGAGAAATGCTCCTTAATGTCTTCCTGTGTAATTTTTCTTATTTACATTAAAGGGGAAAATAGATGTCTATATTCCTGGGATGTTACAGTCAGTTATATAATAGAGATTGAAATATTTCATGGTACTGAATTCAAGTCCTTTAAAACTGCTACTAAAGAATTTAATTATAAATTATTAAAAGCTTCACTAAAAAGGAGATCCTCTTCGGAATGAGGAACAGTTTTTTAAAAACCATAGCACTGGAGTGTTTTTCAAATGGTATGTATTACTAGCATGTAATTCTCTCCTGAACAGTGGCATGTCTAACATTTTAAGATTCCCAAGCAAGAATTAATGAGAAAAAAAGAGATTCCAAAGCAACTCAACTTGTTAAAGAGGGCGTGGAAGTAGGCTATGGGGAAGCAGAAGTTAATCTTTCCTAATAGATAATCACCAGGCCTTTAGATGTTTGCTTTGTAGTAATACAAGGTAGTACAAAGACATTTCTGACTTTTTTTACATGTAAGCCTAGCATTGAGTACACCACTGAAGTTCAGACATTTACTAAATATAAGGTGGCCTTTCCGCATTGTGCCAGGGCTGGTGAGACAGTGACATACATTTTTCAGCACAGTTGTTCTGAAAGGGCTTTCAAGTTACTTTTTAAAAAAGGACAACATAACTTATATCCAGTTTTATAGAACTGGCAGTTTTGAAAAGCAAACCTATCCCCCCACTCCCAAACTGATCCATGGTATTTACTCTCAGATACTTTATATTTAGCTATGGCAGTTAGTATCATAAATAGAATCCCAAAATTTTCAGTCAGCATTGTTTTTATACATGTTTTAAATTATCTTACCTTTATATAACAGAACAAATAGCAGTAGGCTATTAATGCATGGATTCCAGGATCCTACAATTTCTTATGAATTCCAATCTACGAGTGAACACACAGACCTCTTGATATTATGCAATTACTTAATGGCTTCCCTGTATTTTGAATAAATTACATAAAAGGAGGGCTTCCCACAAGGCCTCTCTTTCTTCTCTGGAGTTGGGAGCTGTAAACAGGCAGAGAAGGGACAGACCTTCAACAATAGTCTTTTATTGGACAAAAGTACTCTGGCTTGTTCTATTTCTGTGGTATACTATACATCTGCAGTTTTTAAATTAACTGATACATTTTGCAATGAAAGATCTCAAGGAGAGAATTTAAGACAAATCATGCAGATTTGTAACAAATATGTTCTCCAAATTTGATTTACATCTAACCATGTATTGACCCACACAACTGGTTTACAGTTACCATAAGTTATGAGTTTATCAAAGTAGCTAGACAGAGAGAGCAATGAAAGGCAGCTTTAGTTTCCCATCGAACATTCCATTTTTATGAGGTTCATAGATCTGCTGCAGGAATCCTGCTGTGTGCTGAAATGTTCTATTTTGCCTGTTTCTCATTGGGCCTATATTGGTTTTCCATCCCATCCTAAATCTTATAATTTGGTGTGATTTCTATCCAGGATGTCTTGTGTGCTGGTCATGCTATTCTCTGGAGGGCTGGCATCTGAGTGTTTGCCTCTGGGGAAGAAATGTCTCTGAATATAAAAACGTGCAAAAATTGTTCTTTGATAATAATTTCTCACACACTTTTCACACACAGAAATAACTTTCAAGTTCATTATTAATAGTAATAATTGTTATAATTACTATTTGTTCATGGTCCCTCACATTATTGAAATTATCTATTTCTAGTGTTATTTAAAACTTAAAATACTATGATTAAATTTAATTGCCATTGGTTTAATAACTTCCCACATAGGAAATCCAAAGGAGCCAAAGCACTGAATTACATTCATTCATGCTACGTTCAACCACTCCTCACCAAGTGCCTACAGCAGTGATGGCGAACCTCTGACATGCGAACTCGTTTTTTTGGTTGATTTTTCTTTGTTAAATGGGATTTAAATATATAAAATAAATATCAAAAATATGTCTTTGTTTTACTATGGTTGCAAATATCAAAAAATTTCTATATGTGACACGGCACCAGAGTTAAGTTAGGTTTTTTCAAAATGCTGACACGCCGAGCTCAAAAGGTTCACCGTCACAGGCCTACAGAATGCCTCTCCTAGTATAGCAAATCAGTCTTTTAGTAAATAAGGAGTTACTTTTTTGGAGGTTGCTCTATGTTATAGTGTCCCAGGTAACCACACCATATATTGTGGAGCTGCATCCTTAGCAGCTCAGGTAAGACTTCAGAAAGCATAACCAACACCATGGCAAGGTGATTATTGTTAAAAAAAAAAAAAAAAAAGATGTTTCTAATGACTTGTCAGAGTGAGGCAATCCTGAGAGAATATCTTCCTTAGTTAATTTACACAGCAGCACTCCACCAGTGCATCTGCCCTGCAGCGATCTTATGCATCATGTCCTCAGTTATTGTGACAGATAACCACTCTGGCCTAGTCCCTGAATTCCTAGCAAGGTTTCACTCTTGTGGAAGCAATTATTGAAGAAATGATGAAAACAGAACATCATTCTGAATAATTATCTACCCACACATATTTATTGATCAGTTGCAACGAGCCAAAGCTGATTAGTATACTTCTGCAATTTGATCTGGTCTGCAGATGTTCTGGATTATGTACTTATTGTTTTCAACTAATACTGGTAGCAAGAGCTAAATTATGTATATTATGAATATATTGTTCATATTTTATGAATCCAAAATTGAAATAACTGGCATTGGTCTCAGTACACCAAGGCTAATGCCATCTTCAGAACACATTTTTAATCCAAATATGCTGATTACTTTGATGATTACCACACTTCCCAGTGAATTAGATGTACAGGTGTATCTTATTCCATTCTAATTTTATAAGGAAATTGGGGGGAGGGTCTAAGTACATGTTTTGAAAGTGATTTAAAAGTGGTTTTATATGGAGAAGGCCTTTTTGTCATATGCAGATAGTCAGAAAAAATCATACATTATAGATATATAGTAATATTCTACAGGTGCTGAAAAAAGCATGAAATCATATAGCAATAAAGAAACCTATTAGTATCAGTGAATACAGATACATAGCAGGCAACAAAACACAATACATGAATGTGGTAACATAATACAAATACCAGTATTGTATTTCAGTGAATACTGATAACTAAATAGCACACCACAATAACAAATACATTTGAATAAATCTATATATAATACAAAGCAAAATAATAAGTAAAATTTGGTACAGTGCAAAATAAATTTGAATAAGCTCCTACACAAATAGTGATAAAGCATGAGCAAGTTTCAAAGCTGTACAAAATGTGAAGCAAAATAAGTCGGAAGGATTTCTGTCTGCTCATGCATGTCATAAAAGCAGAAAGCAAGAAAAGAGGAATATGAATTCTTATGAAAACTGGTATTGCAATGTATATTGAAGTATAAAAACAAGCAGGGAAAATGCAAACACAATCAAGGTTTTCATCTTTAGCCTTAAAACCTCGGAAATCATCAATTCCAAAGTCTGAAAACTCAGTGACTCTGCTGAAATTCAAATTTTAAAAAATGACATGTAGCTATTGCATTTACTTAGATATCAAGTCTCTGGACATACCTTGTTTTTTACACATATAATGTGTATTTTTCTATATGTTTTGAAATAATGATTTAATAAATTGTCAGTGTTCAAAATACTTCTTTAAAGACCCATTTTATTTGTTACTTTGCTAAGTCTGTAATGTTAAGATTAACCTAATGCTATATGATAAAAAACTCCAACTACCTCTGATCTGCTTGCTAAATTAGGTCTCCATGATTTCTTGCCATGTTATTTTGAGTTTCACCACTAGAGGTAGCATCATCATCCCTATCTTTTTGAACTTCAGTTCCTAGTTACACCATACCCACTATACACTTTTCATAAGGTGGGCACACTAAACACAGAATGATTTTGAATATATTTTCTGAAGGGAACACATCTTCTCAGCTGATAAATATATGACTTTTCTCCCCATTTATGAGCCTATATATAAAACTACAAAAAGAATAAAGACAGAATAAATGAAATGTTTATGTGAATAGGGTGTAAAATATTTGAAAAACGTTTAATATCAAGAAAGCTACTTTATTCGTGGAAGACAAGATAAATGTGTAATTGAAGTGGAGATAAGAAAGACCAGCAGTAGAAAGTTTGGGCAAAGTGGATCATCCACCCTAAGAAAAGTGGGTTCCAGGAATTGTTTAGATGATAGGAAAGTGATAGCTTTATCACTGGGGAAGAAACAGAGGAAATCAAAGGATGTATTATTATTGTATGGCACGGAGGACTAGATAGAATTTTAAAAATAATGAATTTGCTTTTACTTGTAGAAATAGATGATGAATTCATCAAAAACTTGAAAATACTCATTCCTTGGCTACTTAGTCCTGAGAGCCTAGATATTAAAGAGATCAATGGGAACAAAATCACCTGCCGAGGTCTGGTGGAGTACTTCAAGGTATTGCTCTCATTTCTAGCACATTTGTGAGTACTTAGATTTGACATGTTTGGAATGCAGTTCCCACTTGAAGCTACAACAAAAAAATTATAGACTCTGTAATATGGGGGCAAAAGTATGAGGAATCTGTACAAATGATGAAAAATTATGAGATTCCCAGGAGGAACTTGTTCTCTGAAATTATTTTTTGAGGGAACTCTTTGAGGTAACTTTCCTGTCCCTTAGAGGGAAATGTATTTTGAAATATGAATGTATCTAAGAGTTGGAAATATCTTTTTTGGGGGGAGGGGTGTTTCCCAGGGTCTAAGCCACATAGTCCTCAGTCATGATCGGTACTGAATTTTACCTTCATTCTGAAGATTTTCTCAAAGGGGCTACACCTTGCCTTTCTACTGGAGAACATAATTCCACATTTCCCACTCTGCACCAAGGGCCAATCTGAAGTGGAATTATTTTAAATTTGCATTTACCTGTTTACCTCAGGTAGCACTGAGTACAATGCATTTTTTTTTTTTTACCAAGCCACAAATATAGTGAAGAATTTCAATTACCAATCTAATTTGTGTATTGATGATCTAAGGACTAAAATACCAATTTTTAAAATCAACATTCTGTCATTTAAAATGCAGTCATATACCTCCTGTGTGGTTACTGACCATCACTCTCAGCAATAAAGGATATGTTATTTATCTAAAAATTGAATTCTTACTATACATAACACTGTGGAGGGGCTTAGAATTTAGTAGGAGATTCAGGACCCTTACACAATTCTGTTCCATGAAGTTTATGACATCACCAGGTACCAATTCCTGTGGGTAACTGAAAAAGAAAGGTTACTCCTAGCAGAGGGACCTGAGAGAGTTTTAAAGGATGTAGATGAGCTAAGCCTTCAAGAGGAGTAGGATTGGCAAGTGGAGATGTATGAAAAGGGCATTTCAGGAAAGGGGAACAAACACTAAGAAAGAGGGAATGAAAGTATGAGGAAAAGATAATTAGTTCCTGAAACGGCCAAGACCTTACTTTTTTGGTACTGTCAAGACCTTAGACCTTAGAATATAATTTAACAGAATTACAGAAATATTGAATAGAATTACTTAAACATGAGTCTTTCTCTTTTTCTTTTTAGGCTTATATAAAGATTTATCAAGGTGAAGAATTACCACATCCCAAATCCATGTTACAGGTATTTATTAGCCATGCTAAGCAAAACATGTGCATCAATCTGGTCAGAAATTACCAAATGAAAATAGTAGACAGAATGTTTTATTAGATTATTTTTCTAATAACTGCCCATTTGTGTGTTCAGCTAAACATTTTCACATAAACATACAGCAGCCTCACTTGTGCTGAGATACACTTTATACCCAAGAGTTTTCATTCTCTTTGTATTACATTTGTTTAGAAAACAGACTCACACATGTAACAAGTAGAAAAGCAGGTTTTAAACAAGTGGTGAAACTGGCCTTTTCCTTACTTACTTAAAAAATTTAAAGTTCTTGATAGTTCCTTTTTGTTATCAGATACATTGTTCTATTAGTATAGCAGTCCTTAAATTTGACATTTGTATTTCTATATATTATTTCCATGTTTTTGGTTTTATAGATTTTCCCCAACCCTCAATTTGGTGAGGGGCTTAAAAATGTTGAGGAAAAAAAATCTTCCAAATGAAAATTCATTTTAGAATTATGGTTTACTTTTAATATATTTTTTATTGATTTCAGAGAGGAAGGGAGAAGGAGAGAGAAAAAGAAACATCAGTGATAGAAAACCACTGATCAGCTGCCTCCTGCATGCCCCAGTATGGGACTGAGCCCACGACTGGGCAACGTGCCCCATCCGGGTATCGAACTGACCTCCTAGTTCACAGGTCAACTCTCAACCAGAGCCACCCTGGCTGGGCAGAACTGTGGTTTATTGAGTAAACATATATGTATTATATATTTCAAAATTTTAGTTTTACTAATTTTTAAAATATAGAAATATTTCAATGATTTAAAATTATTTGATGATCTTGGGTTCTTCCACATTTCTTGCTCATGGTGCTTATAAATGAGAGCTGCTGTGGAAATTAATGAATTCCATTTTACATAATATTTTTACTTTGTCCAAAGGCCACAGCAGAAGCTAACAATTTAGCGGCCGTAGCAAATGCCAAGGATACATACAACAAGAAAATGGAAGAGGTAAGAATTAAATTGTATTTTAAACAAAATTAGTATTTTTTCCATGAAATACTGATTTCATTTCTTTTTCTTCCACATTATACTGAATAAACATACAAAGAGGCAGGTTTGACTTATTCTTTCCCAGCCTATGTGTATCACATTTCTATTTATTATATTCCTAAAATATTTAAAAAAAACACTATGCACAATTTTCAACATATTTTAAATGTTACTTCTATATCTAATAGATACATTTTTATTTTTGTCAGATCTTCCCACCAATTTATAAGATTTAGTGGCTAAAATAACATGCTACCCTCTCCACTTCACCTCCCTTCATTCCACAGTTCCAGAATTTCTATCTTAGATATAAAAACCTGTTAGGAAAAAAGAAATTATACTTTAAGGGCTAATATTTCTACATACCATATTTCTTTTTTTGTTTTAACAATCTCAATGAGGATGTGCCTAAAAATTATTATGTATATCTACTAATGTGATGGGTCTTTTTCCCCCTGAAAATATTATAAAATTAAAATTATATTCAAAATTGATGGAGTCAAGAGAAATATAGTATAGGAAATGGTGTTTATGACATAACTAAGGGGTAATTCGGATTACCCCTTAGGTCAGGGAGTGTATAGGAGGCAACGATGTGATTCTCACATCCATGTTTCTCTAAAAATCAATACTTTATGTAGTTAGATCTCAAATAACAAAAGTGAATGATATAAATAACAGATTTCCCTTGTAACTTCTGAAGAAAACAGAAAATGTGGTCCAAGAACATTTGATGTTTCCATTTAGTCTCTTGAATGGGCTCCATTGAAACAAAAATCAGTGAAACTGCCAAATAAAACTTTTAATGATTTTACTTTAGAGCTTTATAGCATTGCTCATTGTTTAAATTAAACTTCATTTGTCAAAATTACTTCAGTGCAGCTAGAAAAAATTTCCTAAAAGGACTATTTTTCTTGAATTTAGATTCGTTTTGTAAATGAACTCAGTTTGCAGTTCACTTTGTGTCATGCCTGTTCATCTGGGATTTTCATCTTGGATCAAGTTATGGATATTCTTTCCCATGTCAAAACAAAAAATTAAGAATGACTTTATATAAGTAACGTATAAAGCAACAGTCCCACTTATAGTTACACCTGATAGTTATTAACTGTGGAAAATGTGGGTTGACAAAACATGCAGGCTTCTTGGTTATTGATATGTTCTAACAAATTTAAGTGAAAATGTTTACAGTTACTAATTTTACTCTGCATTGCATAAACAATACTTCTGCATCTGATACAGATTTGTGGTGGTGACAAACCATTTCTGGCCCCTAATGACCTGCAGACCAAACATCTGGAGCTTAAGGAAGAGTCTGTGAAGCTATTCCGAGGGGTGAAGAAGATGGGTGGGGAGGAATTTAGCCGGCGTTACCTGCAGCAGTTGGAGAATGAAATAGATGAACTTTATATGCAGTATATCAAGCACAATGATAGCAAAAATATCTTCCATGCAGCTCGTACTCCAGCCACACTGTTTGTTGTCATTTTTATCACATATGTGATTGCTGGTGTGACTGGATTCATTGGTTTGGACATCATAGCTAGCCTATGCAATATGATAATGGGACTGACCCTTATCACCCTGTGCACCTGGGCATACATCCGGTACTCTGGAGAATACCGAGAGCTGGGAGCTGTAATAGACCAGGTGGCTGCAGCCTTGTGGGACCAGGTAGGAACACTTTACTTCTCTTCAGCTAAATTCAGCACACATTTGATTGTCTATATTATATACAGGGCATTTGTTAAGATGTTGGAAATATACAGATGAACATGACTTAGGGGCCCAGTTTTCAAGAACTTTAAAATATATCAAGATGGCCAGATACAACCAACTAACTGTATAATATGTGAAGTCCCCACAACTGTTTTCCAGTTAACAATTCAATATTTTTCAAAAATACATGGATTAGGCAGTGGTTTTATTTTTTTATCCTAAAAGAAAAAGTTGTTAAAAGAAGTATAAGAAAACAGTTGTTTATTTAGCTGCTTGTGACTCAATTATGTTAGCCTTACTTCATACTTATGACCTATTTTATTATTTGATAAGCACTGGCTTTGTTAGGATCACATACAAACCACTAACTTGTATCACTGTCTCTTTTAGTACCAACTCATAAAAGCAGTATCTGATTACTTCAGATTCTCTTCATTTGGACTAGACATTGACCATAGCATGAGTCCAGGTCAATCTCTTGATCAGCTGCTCATGGGGTCAGTTAGTTGTTCTTTATGGTCCAATTAACCATAACCTAGGGAGTCAGGCCCGCCATGGTCCATTGTTTAAATAATTGATTATGGACAGGGGAGATAATTACAAACACACCTAGAACAACTCTTTATGTCATTCTGGAAGTATCTATCATCAGTTACCTCATGAAAATTTAGGGGGATTTAGTGAAGCTAAAGTTGAGATTCTCCAGAAAATTTTAGTGTTAAAACTTCTGAACATTTATGGTCTGTATAAGTATACTCTTCTCCCAGCATGAAGAGTATACTTACACATAGAATTTTAATGGATTTACTATGTGCCTTTAAAAAATCTAGCTGAGATAAATTAATGGTAGCACTATGGGAAAAGAATGAATGAAAGCCCTGGCCAGGTGGCTCAATTGGTTGGAGCATCGTCCTGTACACAAAAAGATTGTGGGTTCGATTTCTGGTCAGGGCACATACCTAAGTTGCAGGTTTGATCCCTGGTCAGGGCATGTATAGGAGGCAACTGATCAATGATTCTCACATCCATGTTTCTCTCTCGCTAAAAATCCATAAAAACATATTCACGGTTGAGAATTTAAAAAAAATGAATTAAAAACTGGATCCTCTGAGCCACTGTCTCAAATAGCCCCTCAACGTCAAAAGATAGACGAGGGGATATTTGAGGGAAAAAAACCAATGCCCTCCTACAATATGATGCTGAAACCTATAAGGGATATTGAATTGAGTTTTTCAAAAGATTTATATAAATATGTAATACAAACAAAAAATTTGCAGTATTCACAAATTAATACTGTGAACAATGTTGAATATTGTAATGCTATTAATGAGACAGGATATATACTTTTCTTTTCTCCCTTTTAAACTGCCTTTGCTACAGGGAACTACAAATGAGGTAAGTTAAATTTTTCTAATTAAGAGCTTATATTTGTAAACATTATGACTTTTTTTAAATAAACCAATTAGCCATTAAAGGATGTCTAAATGATTAGAAAATCTTTGTAACTACTGCTCCTATGTTCTCTTTGCATTTATAATTTTAATTGTGAATTTTTAACATGGTTTAAAAACAGTATTTAATTTATTCCAGACATCATGTGATTTGAAATACATAGGAAATACAAACACATGAATATTGGTAATCTTTTATCTGTTTTGTTTCCTAAATATGTAGGAGATTTCAAAATTCCTAAGTTCCAACATTGTGCATTTTTCTCTGAAGAATGAAACATGTACAGTTATGGATCTTGAGGAAACTTAACTACTGGACAGCATTTCCTTAACTTTGACTTTTGAGTGACAATTACCCATACACTTTAAGCAGGTTCCAGGCCAAAACTGCAGCATAACTTTCTTGGCATACCTCAGACATGACTTATTAATTGGTGTTCATTTCTCCCACCACCCTTTCATTCTATCACTCTGTTAAACTTAATATTTACAAGTGAATAAAGAATTATTTTATATAAAATTCAGTAAAACAAATTCACTAAAGTAAAAACAAATTTCAACTTTATAAAGCAAACCTTAAGGAAAAAAATCTAAGCTTTTATAAGTACAGGGATTAAACTAAATGTGTTAGAATGAGAATATAATAGAACTAGGACAATACCATGTTGCATCAATATGCATTTATATAACTGATGATGGTACCATTAGACTAAGAAAATAGCCATATAGATTAAAAAAAAGATAAAAATTAATGGTATTTCCTGGGAATCAATTACTATTTAAAGAATAGCAAGCTTTTGCCCTAACCGGTTTGGCTCAGTGGATAGAGCATCGGCCTGCGGACTGAAGGGCCCCAGGTTCGATTCCGGTCAAGGGCATGTACCTGGGTTGCGGGCACATCCCCAATAGGAGGTGTGCAGGAGGCAGCTGATCGATGTTTCTAACTCTATCTCTCTCCCTTCCTCTCTGTAAAAAATCAATGGAATGTATTTTTTTAAAAAATAAGAAAAAGAATAGCAAGCTTTTATCCAGTTTTTAAAAATATTCAGACTTTATTTTAGACTCCAGAATTACATAAAATAAGTTGGTCTAATTGAGTGCTCATTACGTGAAAGTCAGAAGAGGGAATTTATCTTAGACATTAGGTGGGGAGGGGGGAGAGAACATTAAAATATTTTTGAACACTTATATAAAGCAATATGTAAAAATTCCTGATTCAAGCAGTTATAAAGACACAAAGAACAATTCAGAGGTAGTTTTAATGATGAAAGGCTTTCTGAGATAATGTTTCTGAATAAGGTTTTGTAAAATATGAACTAATTAACAAATAAGGCAAGAAAATGTTTGAGTGGCCCCAGTGTGGCAGAGGGAGGGGGCAACATATGTGCTTATTTGCATGACTGTATGAGGAAATAATGGAGACTGAAGGCGTCCCCATTCTGAAAAACTATAAGGAAGCCCTGAGAACAAGTGGTCCAGCTATTACAATACAGTAGCTATTGACAGTCAAAAGTTATGAGCTCCTGTAATTTCTCTAAAATTGCCAAGTTCTCAACAAGCCCCTGGGGCATAGTGAGTGGTTAGGAAGCTGTGCTCCATGAGGTGTGCAGGTAAAAAGGAAATGCAGTCTGAGAATAAAACATTTACCATGAAGATCAATCCACAAAAGTAGTAACACACACTGTAGAGCTGAAAGTACTTTTGGGTTCTAAGATATTAGTTATTAATTTATATTCCATAGAGATTAATGATATAGACTCCAAATTTAGCAAGCTAACTTTTATATAGTACCATAAACTAATTACACTTAAAAGAAAAATGTTTACATCTGTGTGTTTTAAAATCTGTATTCTTGTCTTTTTAGGCTTTATACAAGCTTTACAATGCAGCAGCAACCCACAGACATCTGTATCATCAGGCTTTTCCTGCACCAAAGTCAGAATCTACTGAACAATCAGAAAAGAAGAAAACTTAATCCAAATGTTAAAAAATACAGGTGCATGACCAATTTTCAGTTACATGTCTCCATGTAAACATTCAGTGCTTCCATCAGAAAGAGTAAAATACCAAACACCTCTGACAACTGCAAAAATGGTCTAGTTCTTTTATTTCAGTGTTTAATAGCAGGTGTATGTATGCATGGTTATTATCATTTCATTAACATGTACAGTTTCCTGATTTTGTCTTCAAATATAGTTATAATTTAAAGTTGTCTATTTATGATGATAGTACATGTGTTCTGCTTGAATTTACTGAATTCTACTACAGGGTTATAATTAAACCACGTGGTAATATTACTCCCTGTTTGGATATGCTCATTTAATTTTTACAGAAGAATTTTGAAATTATTTCATAGTCATTTGTTAAAGCACAGCATCACAACTCAAAAGGCTTGATTCAGTCTATATCATCTTACATATACCATAAGCTCTTATTTTTAAAGACATTTAAGAGAGCTTTTCAGTTGCTTTATCAAAAACTATGTATTGCTTTTTATATTATGATTTAATATAGAATATAAACCTCTTGATAAAAAATGCACAATAGATCACTTTGTATGTATTTGAGTTTCTGCATTGTATATTTTTTCATTTGCTACACAAAGAAATGTATTCATCATAGGTTTATTCTTTTAATATGTCAACTACTATTAAAGTTTACTCTGGTTCCTAAGATTAAAAACAAATGCTTACTGAATTTGGAAATATTTGGGAGTGTTGATAAAGAATGATGACGGTTTATCTTTCTTTTAAAAATTCAGAATGGATTTTCTTTAATGTTGACCACATTTCAAATTTAGCTTTCCATTTTAAGAAATAGATACCTTCCAGTTCTTTTAAAACAGTAATTCTATACTGTATTTCTAATTACTAAAATCTATAGTGGAATTTCATTGAGCATACGCATTTTAAAGAGAAAAAAAAGTGTGGTAATGAAAAAAAGAAAAGTAATGCCTCTTATCTGGGAGCACTAAAACAGTAATTTCTAACTTTCTTTGAAATGGCTAAGTCATAATTAAATAGTAATATAAAGTAAGGAGCAACAGAAAAGAATAATTAAGATAGAAGAGTGTGCAAGAGTTCATAAGGTATGTAAGCTTAAATCTTAGAAAAGTTTGATCACATGCCCTGCAAAGTAACTTTTCACAGTGATAAAATTCCACTAGCTTATTTTCATTTTTCATTACCCCTTTCAATGTACTGTTTTCTTTGATGATGGGTCTTATGAATGGAAAAACCGAATATTTACAGCACTATGTGTAAAATATAGACTCAAACATTTAGTTTCCACAAAAATATATTTAATAAGCTGCTTGTATAAAATCAAACATTTAATATTTCCAACATTTTATCAACAAATTAAACTCACTATTATGTAACTGGGAGTGCTTTGTATTTTGGAAGATTACCTAAACTAAAAACATATTTACATATTTACAACACATGTAAATATAACTGAAGAGCTACTTCAACTAATGTTAAAATTACTGGAATTGTAGAGATTTATAGGCTAGAGGTGCCATAAATTTGTCTGCAATCAAATGTACTACACAAATTATGAACAATATCTTTGTTAACTATTAACTCAAAAGGAAAAAAATGGGAATAAATACTGGGTTTTAAAGTTTGTGACAATGTCTTAAAGATAAAAGAAAATCAATTTATTGACCAAGATTTCTTAATGAATCCCTGATTGTCATTTTTGGCAGCTCAACCCAGCTTGTTAGGATGGTAGCATGTCATGCTCTAGGGAACCCTTCACTGTCTCATCAGAGTCATGCTCTTAAATGCCGAAAGAACCCTGGCCAAAAAAGTAAGGAAGTGATGTTAGCTACTCTGAATGCTGTACACACCTCTCCCACACAGGCTAAAGCCTTATGCCAAAATTTATTCCTTAAAGATTGAAGGCCCTTCACTCTTTCATACCAAAAGAATACTTTCTCATCACATTTAAAACATTCTTTACATTTGGGAGGGAGGGGAATACCATAAATTATATATAAAAATTTATCACAATAAAGGTTCCAAATCCCATTTTATGTTTTGAACTATACACAATAGTAACACTTAGAGCATTCGATTCAAGACAATGTTCCACACTAAAGCAGGAAACATCTTTTTTTAAATACTGCATAGGTTATCTCTTGCTTTGTTTTTTAAAGAAAGGTACTGCTACTGTAAGAGTTTATCAAGTGATCATTTTCTATTTAATATCTCATAATGACATTTCTTGCTGCATTTGTCTCCACTAAGAATATTCAAAGCAGTTTCCTAATATGCAACATTAAGAAGTTTGCCACATTGGCTCTTAAGGTGAAACATTTTTTTTTCTCAATAAGAGTATTTTTAATAACAAAATACATGTAAAATTAGAATTTTGTAATTTCTAAAAAGCTGCCTTTATTAACCAAAGTACTTGTTTGCAGTCTCTTATCTGTGAGAATATTTTAAAGTCCTTATAAAACTTAAATTCTATTTTTATTTTTAAAAAATTTACTTAAAAATTCTTGCCATGTTGCTGGGCATACCACTGCTGCCTCTGCTTGCGGTTTTCTAACTCTGTGAGAAGAGCCTGTCTGTAAGCTTCATACATTTTGACAATCTGTTCCAGTTCTTTCATGAAAAGCAACTTCAGCATTCCCTGGTATGTATCTAGGTCAGCAAGCTGGAAGAGTTCCCACTTCAGAATATGGTCATATCTGTTTTAAAAACACAATCATACATATATTCAGAACACACACATTAAATATGTATTTATAGTAATCAACTGGTCTATTTTTATAAATATCAACTTTATTAAAATTAAACCATAATCTATAATTGAGTCAACTGCTACTTAAATATACTATTTTTTAGAGAGAGGAGAAAATAATTACTACTTCCTTTCAATTTCAAAATACCCATTTCATCTTCAGTGTCAGTTATTCTAATATTAACATTAGATAGCAATAAACACATATTTCAAACCACTGTGGTTCTATAATTTGTGAAGAAGATATTCTATGCTATTCATAAGTTCATCTAAAGTTAACTGTCAGGAACTTAATGCTTTAAACCACACTGGGCCTACAAATAATACATAAAACGGGTAAGGTCATTTGTGTCATTAGAGTCAATAGGGCTTTTTAAAAAATGTATGTTTTTTATTGATTTTTGAGAGAGAGGGAGAGAGAGACAGAGACAGAAATGTTAATGAGAAACATCAACATTGATCAGCTGCTTCCTGCATGCCCCCTACTGAGATCGAGCTAGCAACCTGGGCTTGTGCCCTGACGGGGAATCAGACCAGGGACATCTTGGTTCATGGGTTGATGCTCAACCACTGAGCAACACTGGCAGGGCTTGATAGATGAGGAATGCTGTTCTCTACAGCAAACAAGGAACTAAAAAGAAGAAGGAATGAAGAGGAACCATCATTTGTGGGTTGAGTTTTCCTGAGGCTGAGTATACAGTATTTAAAAACAAAAAAAAAAAAACCCAACAGAAAAACTCAAGCAGAAAGCAAATAAGGTCTGTTTAAAATGAGAGAATAAGTAGACTGTAGAAGATTCCACAATGTAGGGAAGGATTCATAAAATTATATCTGTATTTCAGAAGAAGGCCTTCTTCAATGGCAGGCAGATCACATACTGAGATGGTAGCCTGCCACAAACTACTAAAGCAGTAATTTATACTTTGAATTGAAAGACACTCTAATCCAATTTTATTTTACAGATGAAAAAACTGAAACCCCAAGAGGCTATATATCTCTTGCAGTACTATTTAGTGACTAAAACATCAGAAAGCCCTAAAGAACAATGGCCCAAGATGCTTCAGAGTAATAATTTTGACTGTTAGAATACTACTCGAAGAACTTGAACTACAGCAAGGCATATACCTATGTGATAATGAAGTTATACTTCTCAAATCATACTGCAGAGCTGACATAATAGGAAGTTTTATAAATTCTGGTAAATTTATTTTTAATGATCATTTCTAATATTTCCTACCCAATGGTCCTTTGGTAATTCATTTACTATATTATTCCAAAAGGATCACTTGTCTAATATAAATTTTAAAAGTCTTTTTAAAAAGGGAAACAGTGAACAAATACTGAAGAAAAAGCATTCTAAGGAACAGCATAGAGAACAAAAGTAAGCAATGCACCAATTTTAGTTCCAAATTCTTGCCCCTGCTGTTTCTGTATAATTTCTTCCCTTCTGCCTATAATAAATCCTATTATACCTAATTATTTTTACCATTTTTTCCTTCTTAACTAGCCAAATAATCTACTTCCCCAAGTTTAACTTTTAGCCACTTATACTCTAAATATACAGGTAAATCATTTAGAAAATAGGTTGTAAAAACTCCTCGATAGCCTATACTTATAGCATCTCTTTTGCTGTTTTTCCTAGGACAGTATTCTATTCAAACACTACTTATAAATAAACCATATATGCAAACAGCCATTGCTATACTGCCACCAAAAAAACAAAAAGAAACCAAAAAGGTGTTCACACTGCAGTGGATGCTGGCTTTAAGAGCAAAAATGCTGCCTTTCTCAGCTCCAGGTATCATAATGTGGTCTAAGTTCCTGGCACCTGCCCCCTACAACAGTGTGCCCACTATCTCTTTCCACCTATACCCGGAGCTGGGTCAATGGTGACACTGGAATCAAGACACAGGAATGAAACAGAATCCATTCCACAATGCTGTGGGGGGCTGTGTTGGAGTGTGTGTAAGGAATATTAGAAAGTAAGTATGTTCCTAACAGTCTTTTTCCTGTTAAAGATTAAATCTCATAATTTTATCTGACATTACAGTTATATGATGCATTACAGATTTTTGTGAGCGGAGTTAGAAACATAACTTCAATAAAATTAAATAATTTAGAACATAATCTGTTTCTTAAGTCAAGTTCTGGAAGTATATGCAAACAGTATTTTTGTAAGTTACTTCTAAAGACAGAATTAAAAATTTCAGTAAGCTAGAAAACGGTCAATTGTTAAATAGGAAGAAAGGCTACTTTTTTTCTAAAACCTATTTTTTTATAAGTAATTGATTCTCCATCATCTAATTCGTAGACAACAGCTCACCCTTTATTGATAGAACAAGATTAACCATTTCCATACTCTTTAGGGATAAAAATTTAGGAGCAACTAAAAATCAATAGGTTTCCTGACGTTTTAAGTTTTTAAGCAAAGAAGTATTTGCTCTCTTTTCTAGTAGAGTTTTGAGCTATCTGAAGGTTTAAAAAAAAAAAAGTTGCTAGTTTCCTAAAGTTTTATAGCTATCTCATAGAACCAGATATGAAAGGGACTATAATCTTTAGGAGTCTTCCTTTTTACAAGAAGCAAGGAATTCCATTAAAGTATTATCTTTTTCCCCCCCAAAGAGAAGCTTTTTATTTTTCCTAACAATGACTATAAAGTAGAAAGGAGTAACCCTCTTCAATCTTACCAACTCTCCCAAATAACAAAAGTTAACAGTTGGGCACATATTCTTCCAGACTTAGGAGAATAAAAATACACACACCTATTGTATTTGACTTGGGATCAGCATAAGAACAAAGGCTATACACGAGTAGTGGGTCAAGTATTATTCAAGAGTGAAAGAAGGGATTAAGCAAAAAACAATTAACAGAAAAATCCTCAGACACAGACAACAGCATGGTAATTACCAGAGGGGAAGGGAGTGGGGGGAGGTAGAAGAGTGTACAGGGAGGATAAATGGTGATGGAAGGAGACTTCATTTGACTTGGAGTGATGAACATAGAGCATACAGTTAATGTATTATAGAATTGTACCCCTGAAACCTATATAATTTTATTAACCAATGTCACCTCAATAAAGTTAATTTAAAAAAGGGGAAAAAGGAAGAAAAGTCCATCTGCTGTCACATTCTTAATACCATTCTTATACTATAGAGATATTATCAGATAAAGAAGCTGAGAATCAAACCACGCTAAACTTCTATGGATACCTAATTTCAAATGTGTATCTAATTTCAAGTAAACTAAAACCAAACTTTAGGTAAGCATTGTATATACCTTGCAGAATATTTATAATTAAAATTTGAAATTACATTAAATTTGCCCTGGCCAGTGATTCCAGTGGTTGGAGCATCAGCCTGAGCACTGAAAGGTCACATGTACCTTGATGGCAGGTTCACTCCTAACCCCAGTTAGAGTATATGCTGGAAGCAGCCAGTTGATGTGTGTCTCTCACATTGATCTCTCTCTCTCTCACTCTCTCTCCCTTCCTCCCTCTTCCTCTCTTTTCCCCTCTCCCTCTCCCTCTCCCTCCCCTTCTTTCTCAGAATAGAGGGAATGTAAGAGAATATGTATGTTGGCCAAAAATTAATAATTTATAGTAAATGACCAATAACTATGAGAATATTAAACTTGCCTAAATGAGCAGCATCATCTATCCTATCTAATAAAAGAGAAACATGGTAATTAGTGTAGGACTGCTACCCTTCCCATTGGCTAATCAGGGCGATATGCAAATGAACTTCCAGCCAAGATGGCGACCGG